GCCCCGCTTCTTTCCAAGGGATTCCTGAAAACCGCTGATGTTTGATAAACGAGCGCGCGCGCATACATCTTTTGCAAGGGATGGCGGAAGGGGGGGCGATACCGGCTCGGCTGGGATGGTACGGATTCAGATCTAGGATGGACTATGGGGCGAAATCATATGTAAAATCACATCCCCAGGGGACAAAGCAGAATTCACGTCTGCTCGCAGTGACTTGCCCACTCCACTGCTCACGCTAGAATCCCACCCACCCACCCGCAACTTGGACTGCAAAACCATGCGGAAGCGGTTGCGATGAGTGTCTAAGAATTGGGCGGTGCATCTCTGCGGCCGCGCTAGCCCGCGCATGCTCGAGCGCACAGCGGCAAACTAGCCTGGCGCTACCGACGCGGCCGCGGCAGCGCTGACCGCCGGGCGCTTCCCCACGGGCATTTCACTGCGAGTCGGCGAACTGGGCGGGCGGCATCATGGCAGCGTCGGCAACAGTAGGCGCGATCGACACGGGCTGCGGCGACGCCAACGACGACGGCATGGCCAATGACGGCGCTGATGCTGATCGCGCAAACGACGATGACAACGCCCTCGCGTCGGCGATGAAGGTTCCGGAGGGAGTTCGACGCGCGCGCGGCTGACGCGCGAGAGCGGCCCGCGCGATATTAGTTGGCACGGATCGCCCCCCCCCGCCCAGCACGCGAACAAGGTTGCTCGACCGAGTTCGACGCGCGGCGCGAGGGGCCCGCTCCGCAGAACCAAGTGAAAATGTTGAACAACCTGCGGTTCGACTAAGAGCTCGCAGGAGCGCGAGCGCGGGCATTTCTCAAAAACCGACGTTGCAAAACCAGGTGCTGGTTTTGAATGTCTCTCGGGGTGCTCGATCTTGAGATCCTTGCGAAACCTAAGTGGAGAATGTCGGCACGCGCGCGCGACGACGCGCGCGCGCGGGCGTGCACTTCGCCCGGTTTGCAAATGGCTCGCGCGACAGCGCGCGCGCAAGGGCGCTCTAGCGATTCAGACACGCGCGCGCGAGAGGCTGGTGGCAAATTATGGAAAATGTTGAAAAATCAAAAATCGATGGTTCCCCATGCAGTGTTTGCACATAGCGTTTCGTACTTAGCTTAACCATCTCTGGACGAATGGCGGCTTTCGCGGGCGGCGCCGCCCGTCGCCGCCATCGCCGTCGCCATCGCCGTCGCAGCCGCTCGGGGCGACCGGCGGCTTTCGCGGGCGGCGCCGCCCGTCGCCGCCGTCGCCGTCGCCGTCGCCGCCGCTCGGGGCGAGCGACGGCTTTCGCGGGCGGCGCCACCCGTCGCCGCCGCCGCCGTCGCATAGATTTCCCATTCTGGAAAGAAAATTCGCCGGCCCAACGGGCCAGAGGCGTGCTAAGATCTCCGGTAACTGGTTAAGAATTCTCTAGTTCGCGCGCGCGGGGCGGCCCCTGGGGGTCCCCGGACGGAAAGTACCCCGGCAAGGTCCTGAGAGAGTCCCGGGAGGAGTCCCCCAGAGCGCTCCAGGAGCGCTCCATGAGCGCACCAACAGGGCTCCGAGACGTCCCCGAGAGCCCCAAGAAAGGCCAAGAGGCCCCCAAGAGGCCCCCAAGATGGTACACGAGGGGTCCGACATGCCACAAGATCGCTCCAAGACGCCCAAGATAGCCCCCAGACGCCCCAAGAGGCCTCCAAGAGCACTCCCAAGAGGGCCCCCGGAGGCAAAATTCATTGTTTTTCCTTAGGTTTTTGAAAGATTTTGGAGCTTCCACCTTTTCGGTTCCCGACGCCCCAAGACGGCCCCAGAGGCCCCCAAGATCGCCCCAAGAGGGCCCAAGAGGCCCCCAAGAGGGCCCCAAGATGGCCCAAGAGGGCTCGAAGACGGCCCAAGAAGCCTCCAAGACGGTCCAAGAGGGCCCCAAGAACACCCCCAAAGGGGCCCCAGAGAGGGAACACGAAACAAAATTTCGCGCCCTCGGCCCTAAGAAGCCCCTACGAGGCCCCAAGAGGCCCCTAAGAGGCCCCAAGAGGCCCCCACGAGGCCCTCAGGAGGCCCCCAAGAGTCCCCCAAGCGGCCCCAGGAGGCCCCCCAAATGCCCCCCCGAGCGCCCCAGGAGTCCCCCAAGCGGCCCCAGGAACCCCCAAAGCGCCGCATTGACACCAGGCCCTCGGGCAAACGGCAGACATGAGACCGTATGGGCCGGCGGAATGAGCGAAGCGATTCAATGAATTCTCCACCCCCGGAATTATTGGCCCCCCCTTTCGCGTTTGAATTTACATGTGATTCTACCCCATCGCCCATCCAAAATATGAGTTCGTGCCACACCAGCCCAACCGGCATCGACCCCACCCCCCGCCATCCCCGGGGAGGAACAAAAACCGTATGCGCGCGCATCCAGTTATCAAAGCATCAGCTGCTTTCAAAGATGCTTTGAAAATGAAACGAAGTGCACGCGCGCGCATCGTCGCGCGCATATGCCAAAATCATTCAAAAACCTTCGGCGACGCAAATATTTCAAAATCGAACGCCCAAAACCATATAACAACATGTGTTCGCGACACGGGTTGAAACAGAACAAAAAAACTGCCCCCCGCGACCTTACGAATTCGTAAGAGAAAACGAATGTTGTTATATCAGTTTCATTCAGTGCGACCAAACGCCTTTAGACAGGGCCCCCAGCTCAAAAATGCTTCCAAAAGGGAGAAGTGGTTTCGAAAGCCATCCCCCTTTGGTAAAGGGGAGCCCGGGCATACTTCTGGCCCCGAAAGAGGAGGAAGGGAGGGGGTAGCTTCGAAGCCCCCCCCCCTTTTAGCCAGGGCCCCCCCAGCTCAAAAATGCTTCCAAAACGGAGGGTGGAGGGGGAGAGATTCGGAAGCGACCCCCCCTTTCGAAGGAAAGGGGGGGTAGCTTGAAGCTGGGTCCCCCCTGATTGAGTTCCGTACGGGCGTGCTTTTCATATGTACACACCTATTAAAAAATAGTACAACCCCGCCCCCAGGATTATCCGTTCCCCTTCTTCGCATTGCGATTTACATGTGATTATGCCGTTTTGTTTCTCGCATTGCGATTTCCATATCAAATATGAACTCGTACCATCCTAGGCAGGCCAGCGCCGATCCTGCCCCCAAAGAATACAACGCGCGCGCATGTTTATCACATGCAATCACGTTTCCAGAGCACCTCTGCGCATACAAAAAACGAGACGAAACGCACGCGTTCGCGTCGTCGCGCGCGCGTGCCAAAACCGCTCGGAAGCATTAGGTTCCATAAACATACTAGAACCGAGTGCCCAAGAAACATATAAAACACATGGCTTCGCAACACGGAGTTCCAAGAAAAAGTGTGCGCTCGCGCTCTTGCGAGGTATTAAAGAAAACCATTGGTTTCTCAACCGAATTATAAAATCTACCACACGGGCTTCGCGCACGCAGATCGAAATCGTGGAAAAACCGTCTGCGCGCGCTGTCGCAAGAATCTTTGCCAACAAAAACACAGTTCACACGCGCGCGTCGTCGCGCGCGCATGTCGAAATCAACCGAAAACCTTAGGTTACGTCAGGGTTTCAATACCGAGTGTCTCGAAACCACCTACGAACACACGGTTTCGCAACATCGGTTAAGAGCCTGCGCTCGCGCTCTTGTGAACACTTGAGAAAGCCATTGTTTGTTTCTCAAGTTGTCCATAGAATTCTGCCAAACGCACCTTTCGCGCCGCATGCCGGAATCATTCGCGCGCCCTTGCTCGCGTGCGGGGGGCACGATCATAATCAAATAGGACTACGCGGGCCACTCGCGCGTCGGCCGCGCGCGCATCGAACTCCTTCCAAAACCTTCATATCCAACGCGAAGACGCCGTCATCGTCGACGGCGTGATCAACATCGGCGTTGTCATTGGCCGCGCCGTTATCGCTGTCAGCATCGTCACCAACATCGCTACTATCATCATCGTGTCTACCGATGTCGACGTTGCCATGATACCGTGCCCGCCCAGGTCGCCGACTCGCACTGAAATGCCCGCTGGGATGTGCCGAGCGATCAGCGCCACCGCGGCCGCGTCGGTCGCGCCAAACAAGCCGGCCGCAGCGCGCGCGCGCGCTTGGGCTGGCGCGGCCGCAGAGACGCACCAGCCGATGCAAAGCACTCATCGCAATCGCCGCCGCATGGGTTTTGCACACCAAGTTGCGGATGGGTGGGTGAGATGTTTGCGAGAGCATGGAATGCGTTAACTCGTTCGAAAAAAATCTCCTTCCGACAAAGAGAATAATTATATTCGACCCCCCAGATTATCCGCCCCCCCTTCTCGAATTGCAATTTAAATATGATTCTGCCCCATCGTCCATCCCAAAAATGGATTCACACCATCCCAGGGGGGCCAGTATCGAACCCCCCCCGCCCATCCTCTGCAACAAAGACTACGCGCGCAGCCGTCCCTCCAGCTTCGGCTGCCCAGAGTGCGGAGGCGTCGATCACAGACAAGCGGAAGCGAAAACATGAGCCACGACGACACTGACTCTGACTCTGACTCTGACCCTGACTCTGACTCTGACTCTGACGACGACGACGACGACGACGACGACGACGACTCTACATCGGACTCTGACTCGGACGACGACGACGACGACGACGACGATGACATCGACGAAGACGATACGACGGCGATACAACGACGGCGACAATGACGATGAGGACGACGACGACGAAACTGACTCTGGCTCTGGCTCTGACTCTGACTCTGACTCTGGCTCTGGCTCTGACGACGACGATTACGACGATTCGACGACGACGAAAACAACGACGACGGCACTGACTCTGGCTCCGACTCTGGCTCTGGCTCTGACTCTGACCCTGACTCTGAGGACTGCAATGCTGATGATGATGAAGACGAAACGACGACGAGACGACGACGAGAGGCTGACGAACAGGACGACGACGACGACCACCACCGCGACGACGACGACGACGACGACGACGACGGCGACGGCGACGACGACGACGACGACGACGACCGCGGGGGGCCTTGGTCTCGGCGAGCTCGCCCTCGGCGCCCGCCTTCTCCTCCTTGTTCTTCGCCTCGGGGCAGGAGAAGGGAAGGCGGGAGAAGGGAGGGCGGGGGCAGGAGGAGGGAGGGCAGGAGAGGGGAAGGCGGGGGGGGGAGGAGGGGGGAGGGAGGAGGGAGGAGGCCTCTTGGAGGTCTGTCGGATGCTATCGCCATGCTCGACCTACTGGGACCATCTTGGGGATAGGAGGAGAAGGAGGAGGAAGAAGAGGAGGAGGAGGAGGGGGAGGAGGAAGAGGAGGAGGAGGAGGAGGGAGGAGGGAGGAGGAAGTAGGAAGGAGGGAGAACCGGGAAGGGCGGAGGAGGACGACGACGACGAAGGAGAAGGTAGAAGGGGGAGGGCGGGGAGAGAGGGATGGGGGGGAGGGGCAAGCCAGGTGCGCTCGCGCCTCATCCGACCTCCAGTCCCTCCCTCCCATCCCTTCCAATGGTGCTGAGGTTCCTCTGTCCACGGACGCGTGCCATAGCCGACCTGCGACTCCCACATGAAGACGCCTTCGTGTTATTCGCAATCGGAAAAAGGACGAGCTGCGTGCACAGGAGGGTAAGCAGGAGGGTGGACGGGAGGAGAAGGTTCAGGACGAACAGCAGCAGCAGGAACTAATGCGCAAGGATCGGGATGACAGGAGGACCAGGGGAAGGCGGAGGAGAGGAAAGGAGGGTGGCGACAACGACGAAACGAGACTCGGATTCAGGCAGGTGGCCTGCGCTGGGGCGGGAAGAGCAGCAGCAGCAGGAACTTGAGCGGAAAGAGCGGGAGAAACAGAAGGGCCTGGGAAGGCGGAGGAGGGGAAATGAGAGGTCGGACCACAATGAAGCCAGACTCGGAACCAGAGAAGTGGCCAGCGCTATGGCGAGAGAGCCAGTCTGAACGACAGGAGCAAAGCGCCGATCCGAAAATGAGGTCCACGCTGCAGCGGGAGCACAATTTAAGGACACCGAAGAATCGGATAATAAAACATCATACGATCGAATATACATAATCAGATGTAAACAACCGCATGCGGATGGGGGCGGAAGATCTTCCGCACAACTTCAGGGGAGGAGGGAGAGTAGTCTTTAAGCTGCCTGGATAATTGTCGAGGGAGAGGAGGGGTGAGAAGGAGGGGAAGGGAGAGGGACGAGGGAGGACGACCTCCGATCACGGCGACGACTCCGACAACAGCACCGACCAACGATGACGATGACGGGCTTCGACAAGGGAAACAAGCGAAGCGACGACGACGGCAACGACGACGAAGACGACGACGACGACAAAGACGACGACGGCGACGACAAAGACGACGACGACGACGACGACGACGACGGCAACGACGACGACGACGGCAACGACGACGACGACGACGACGACGACGACGACGGGCCACGAGCTCGGACTTCTGGGAGGAGTCGAACTTCGCCTGTTCGGTCTGCTTGGTTAGATCCTGCGCTGGCGGAGCGCTTGGCGGCCATCGCCGCCACCGCCGCCTTGACCGCCGTCGCCGTGGTCGTCGTCGCCGTGTCGTCGTCGTCGTCGCCGTCGCCGTCGCCGTCGCCGTCAACGCCGTTGGTCGCCGTCGTCGTAGTCGTCGTCGCCGTCGTTGGTCGCCGTCGTCATCGGTCCGCCCGTCGCCGTCGTCACTCCAGGGGGCGTCCAGGGGCCCGCAGAGACCAAGACACCTGGCGACTCGAACGAGGATCACTCCCGAAAACTGGGGCCGCCAAAGACAGCTCGGGATGAAAGAAGGCCCCTGGGTAAGGAGCAGGAGAGCCCAGAATTGAACCGGTAAATCGAATCGGCGATCGACATGAATCGGATCGGCGGAAGGCGGCAGGCTAGCATGCCTCCAGTGAGACGTCGGAACCCGAATCGGAATCCCAAATCGAGTCGAATCGGAATCGGAAGCCCTCGAAGTCGTATCGGATCGAATCGAGTCGAATCGGGATCGGAAGCCCTCGAAATCGAATCGGATCGAATCGAGTCGAAACGGGATCGGAGGCCCTCGAAGTCGAATCGAATCGAATCGGGATCGAATCAAATCGAATCGAATCGAATCGAATCGGGATCGAATCGAAGTCGAATCGACTCGAGAAGGACGAGTCGAAACGAGCCCCGAGAGGGGCCGAGAGGTCTGGGCACCCACGGTGCGGACAAGACAGAGTCGTCGGGTCTGGCAGCTGGCAGCACCGACGGTCACAATTGAAGGGGCTCTGGGACACACAAATAAATACACACAAATAAAATAATTTCCCATATTTTCCCATATTTTCTCTGATTTTGTTTTCCCCACCACTTCCCATATTTTCCCATATTTTCTGGGGATCGGCGATTAATTGTGTCTGTGTGTTTTGTTCCCTCCTGAACAATCTTCACAAACAGAGCGACAGCATGGCACAAAGCAGAAGGCCTGTTGGCCTGGCCTGTGGCGCGGGCTCCGCTAGAACCCCACCAGCCCTTCACGGCGCGGGTGGTTGAATAAACTGTGTCTTCTCTCCCCCTCCTTTCCCTGCTCGGGGGAAGGATTTACCCCTCCCGCTACCCCTTTCCCAAGAGCATGGGGGGGGTCCGGGTAGTGATAGGGAGGTTCCTCTTCCACCCCCCTTCTTCCCCTTTCGGGGACGGGTTCATCACTGTTCCCTATTAATAGATACCCCATCCCCCAAGCGACTGTGAGCCAACCAGGGACAATGAGGGCCCCCCCACCATCCCTTCCAAAAAAAAAGAACAGAACACACTCTGCCTCCAAAGTCGGAGCATGCGCAGCGAACCCGATGCGGCCTCCCCCCACCATCCCTCCCAAAAAACACACTACCGAGTACACTTGGCGGCGGCGGCGGCTGGAAGCGCTGCGGCGGCAGCGGCGGGGTGGCGCGCTGCGGGCGGCTCTGCGGCGGCTGCAGCGGCGGCGGCGGCGGCGGCGCAGCGCCGGCGGCGGCCGGCGGCGGCGGCGGCGTCGGCCGCGGGCGGCGGCGCGAGGCGGCGGCGGCGGCGGCGCGGTGGCGGCAGCGGCTGCGGCGCGGCGGCGGGCGCGGCGGCGGCGGCGGCGGCGGCGGCGGGGGGCGGCGCGGCGGCGGCGCGGACGGCGGCGGCGGGCCGCGCGGCGGCGGCGGCGGCGGCGGCGGCGGACAGCGGCGGCGGCGCCGGCGGCGAGGCTGCGGCGGCGGCGGCGGGCGGCGGCGGCGGCGGAGACCGCGGCGGCGGCGGATTGGCCCCCAGTAGCTGCCCATCCAAAGACGACTGCTGAATATGCTGAGGTTCGGGCCAGGCTCGGTGCTACGTATGTGTTGGGAGGGCGGGTGGGAGTGAGCGAGACGGCTTGCGGGCGGGGAGGGAGTCTCGATCACTGTTCCCTATTAGTAATACACCCATTCCCCAAGCGAGTGGGAGCTAACCCGAGCCAATGAGGGCCCCCACCCACCATCCCTTTTTGTAAAAAACTACACACACACTCTGCCTCCAAATTCGGAGCATGCGCAGCGAACCCGACGCGGCCTCCCCCCACCATCCCTCCCAAAAAACACACTACCGAGTACACTTGGCGGCGGCAGCGGTTGCGGCGGCTGCGACGGGGGCAGCGGCTGCGGCGGCTGCGGCGGTGGCGGCAGCGGTGGCGGCGGCGGCGGCGGGGGCGGCGGCGGCAGCGGCAGCGGCGGCGGCGGCGGCGGGTGGCGGCGGCGGCGCGACGGCAGCGGTGGCGGCAGCGGCTGCGGCAGCGGCTGCGGCGGCGCGATTTCGCGCGGGGCGGCGGCGGGCGCGGCGGCGGCGGCGGCGGCGGCGGCAGCGCGGTGGCGGCGGCGGCGGCGGCGGCGGACAGCGGCGGCGGCGCCGGCGGCGAGGCGGCGGCGGCGGCGGGCGGCGGCGGCGGCGGAGACCGCGGCGGCGGCGGATTGGCCCCCAGTAGCTGCCCATCCAAAGACGACTGCTGTATATGCTGCGGCTCGGGCCAGGCTCGGGTGCTATGTGTCTTGGGAGGGCGGGTGGGAGTGAGCGGGACGGCTTGCGGGCGGGGAGGGAGTCTTGACCCCTCCCCCTTACCCCCCCCCTGGATCTGGACAGGGGGTTCGCGAGCGGTCAGATGATACGTTTTCGCCCAAGACTGCTCCAAGAGCGCCTCAGAGAGCCCAAGATGACCTCCAAGATGGCTCAAGAAATCGCAAGATGGCCCAAGATGGCTTCCAAGATGGTCCAAAAGGCTCCAAGAACGCTCCAAGACGGATCCAAGAGGCCTCCGAGACATCCAAGAAGGCCTCCAAGAAGCCAACATCCTTCAAACACTCAGAGAAAACTACTGATGGCATCGTCGCCCGTTCACTTCCGATGGCCTTCCGAGGATGGCTCCAAGATGGCCCAAGAGGGTCCTAACAGGGGCCCCAGAGAGCCTCAAGACGGCCCCAAAAACGCCCAAGAGCGCTCCAAGAGCGCCCCAAGAGCGCCTCTGTTTTGATCGGTGTCTTCCAAGATGGCCCCAAGAGCGCTCCAAATGCTCCCAAGAGCGCCTCAAGAGGGCCTCAAGAGGCGCCCAGGAGGCCCCAAGAGGCACCCACGAGGCTTCCAAGAGGCTGCCAAGAGACCCCCAACAGTCCCCAAGAGGCTCCCCGAGGCAGCCGAGACGCTCCAAGAAGCCCCTGGGACCGCCCAGAGGCCCCCAGGACGCAGGAGCCCAGAGGCCCCCAGGGGCCCAAGAGAGCCCCAATACGGCCATCAGAGTGTCCCAAGAGCGCTCCTAGAGAGACCCTTCCTCTGTGTGCTGCCCGCTTCCCTGATCGAGGCAACTCCTCTGGGCATCGTCTCTGGATGGGCTGGTGGGGTTACGCGAAGCGTTACGCGAAGCGTCTAGAATTTCAAAATGGGCCCAGCATTGCTCCAAGAGCGCCCTCGGCAACCCAAGACGGCCTCCAAGATGGCTCAAGATAGCCAAAGATGATTCAATATAGCCTCCCACATACCTCCAAAAGGCCCCAAGACAACCCCAAGACGATTCCCAGTGCTCTTGGAGCCTTCCCAGGCAGCCTCCGAGAGGGCAAAAAATTGTTCAACAACCAAGGGCAACTCAATGGGTCTTGCCTTTTCGCCGTGTCGCTTCCGACCCCAAAACGGCCCCACGTGCGCACAAGAGACTCCAAAGAGCGGTCACAGAGGGCCCCAAGACGCCATTGCTGTGTCCCCGTGGGGGGAACCCGATCCCCCCCCCCCCCCCCTCTTTTCAAGCCATGAGGGCCAAGAGGCTTCCCAGGCCCCTCGCATTGGCTCCCAAGAGGGCCCCAAGACCCCAAAACGAGCCCCAAGAAGGCCCCAAGATTGCCATATGATGGCCTCAGTCGCCTTTGTTCCAAAACCTCTCGCAACAACAGATCTCCAAAGCCCGAATTCTCATCCTCCGTGTCATCGTCCGTTTCATCCCACCTCCTTTCCTCCCTCCTCCTCCTCCTCCTCCTCCTCCTCCTCCTCCTCCTCCTCCTCCTCCTCCTCCTCCTCCTCTTCCTAAACTAACTAAACACACATCGGGGGCAACAAAACCAGTCTCAAGGCTCTAGACGCCGAATTCCGAGTTCCAGGCCGAAAAACTCAAAAACGTCATGTGCCCCTGTGACGTCGGGAACAAGGTCGGCGCGCGGCCGCGGGGGCCTGGCGGCGCCCCGCTCCGCTTGTGCGGCGACGGGGTCCGATACAGCCCGGGGGGCCCGCGACGAGCGACCGACGCTGACTGCATCCAGGCACCGCGGATCCCACCCACCCTCGGGCTGTTGGGCGGAGCCACCAGGGCCAGAACCCGCCGAACAGCCTGGGGGTGATGGGGACCCGCAGCGCGTCACGTCCGACTGTGGGCTCTCCTTCGGAGCGACCCCAGTCGGGCAACCCTGCTCTCAAGGGCCCTCAGAAGCTCTCTTCCACGCTCGCTGCCAGTCGCAGCGACCATCGCGGCAACGCTGGCCGCCTGCTGTCTCAGGGCCGTCAGCTCAGCTTCAGCATCTGGCCTAGATCTTTCTGCAGATCTCGCTCGAGCCTGGACCTTGGGGGCTGCCCGTCGGACCGCACCGCCCCCTCGGCCTCCAGCATGGTGAGGAACGCCGTCCGCACGTCCCTGACGAAAATCGGCACCAGCGGCACGTCGGCAAGGCACCGCGGTCCCTCCGCGTCGCTCTCCATGATCTCCTCCTCGTTCGCCTTCTTCTTCCCCACGCCGTGCTTGCCCAGCCACTTGGGGTTCTCCAGCGGCTGCTGCACGTGCGGGCTGATGGCCATCGTCATCTTGCTGTACCCCGTCGTCTGCACCTGCTCGTCGAACCTCGCGCGCTTGAGTCGGAACCCCTTGAAGATCTCGCCCGTGAGCGCTGGGCACTCCTCCAGCGCCGCGTTCATGAAGGACATCACGCACTGCGCCAGCCTGACCTGCTGCCCGTTGCCCATGTCCGCGCTGGCCAGCTTGTTGATCACGCCCTTCGC